AGGTAATTAGGAGTTTGAGTTTAATTAGGAATTTCCTTCTGTAATCTCCTATTTAAGGAGCCACGAATTGAAATAAGCATTCAGTTTTCGTAGTCAAGAAAGAGAGTGAGGAGAGTTCGGGTGATCTCTTGGACAAATCACCCATTAGGAGAGTTCGGGTGATCTCTTGGACCAATCACCCACGTGATTGCCACCATAGGGTCTGTACGCAAGAGCAAGGGCAAGGGAAGACAGGAGTCTCTCCCGGTGGACCGACCCGTGACGAGATCCTATGCACGGGCCCATAACATAGATCAAGGGAGGGAGGGTGAGCACTGGTGACCTCTGAGATCAGTGGCCTAGGTAGTGCAGCCTGCAGCCAACAATTCATGGTTATTCTTCTTCTTCTTCTTGTCTTTTATCTACTCTCTTTACCATGACAGACATTGAGAAGATGACCTAACATTCTGAATAAGGGTGAATACTGAGATGTTTTGACAGCCTGACCCATTTGACTCAGACAGTCGAACCAGTGATCTTCACCTGGGAGGAAAACCAGGTTGATCATCAGTTCAGCTTTTAAAACACTGGTGGAAACTCTGTACCAGCACACAGCTATATAATTGAAGAAAATTTAAAAAGAATGCTTCCATTTTATTCTTTCACTTTATGCATTTTTTCTATTTTATGTACCACCAACCAATCATGTTCTGTCATAAATATTTAAAGCAACGGTATGAATATGACAAAATACAAACATATTCTATATATTTAAAAATAATTAGATAAAAGAAAACTCATCTTTCAAAAAGAAAATAGAGATACAAACAAACAAATAAGTTTTAAAACCACTTTGTGGTTGACTGGTCATAGTCAATCTAGTTGTTTCCTAATTGCCCTAGGTGATTGCATCATGAGTATTGACTGAATAGTTAGTGATGCAATTGGTGTGGACCTCAACTCAGTGGTTGGTTAACTAGTCTATGCTTTGATATGACTGGTCGTTTCCATGGGAATTGATGTCAGTGACCTAGGCTTGATGAAAACCAGAGACCTATGTCATCAAGTTATGTCTCTTTCTGAGTATAGAGCTCAGTTGTATGGCTACTTAAACAGCAGCGTGAATACTATTGCGCAATTTGACATATCTTGTTGGAGAGCTTGTTGGTGCTTGACTTATTGCACATGGAGGCTACTTTCTGAATTAGGGGTGTCAATTGGACTGGATTTGGTCCCAGCTGATCCAGTCCAATGTAAGTCCATTACAAATGGACTAGGTCCAATCCAATCCAATGAATATTTTGGACCATTTTGGACTGGTCCAATTCAATGTCTGGGCCGTCCAATCTCTTCAAATTTGTTTTAATTTAGATTGTTTCCAACACAAAAACTGGTCCATTGACACCTATATTTCTTATTTTCTATCAATGGACCAGATGTTGGCTCAATCCAATCCAGTCCAATATAAATTCATTATGGACGGACCAGGTCCAATCTAATCCAATAAATACTTTGGACCATTAAGTCTGGACTGGTCCAATTCAATATGTCTTGTTGGTTCGTCCAATCCATCCAAATTGATTTTGGTTTGGCGGGGTCCAACCCAAAACAGGTCCATTGACACCCCTATTCTGAATCTAGCAAAGCAGCCTGGGAGCACAATTCAGACTCTTGGTGCAGAGAAGGCCCTTTTAGTAAAGCACGTTACCCCCAAATATGTACTTACCTTTCATGCATCCTTAATTGGCAAGCATCTCCTAAAACACAAAGGAAAAATTTTGATGATCTTGCTGGCAAAACTGCATTAACCATTTGATATGATGCTGTTGGCAATGCCAATAAAAAAATGATGCTCTTGGACATAATCAAGATGTGGGACTGGAGATTTGAGCTAAGGTTTGGAGACCAGTGTTTTAAAAGGCGTGGGAGGCGCTCCCAAAACGCCCTGAGGTGTATGCCAGAGGCACTGACACCTCTGAGGCGTATGCCTCGTGCGCTTTTTAAACGAGGCGTACGCCTCATGCACATCTGATATTAAAAGACAGAAGAAAAAAAGAAAAGAAAGGAAAGGAAAGGAAAGGAAAGGAAAGGAAAGGAAAGGAAAAGAAAAGAAAGGGAAGGGAAAGAAAAAGAAAGAGAAGAAAAAAAGAGAAAAGGAAAGAAAAGGAAAGGAAAGGGAAGGGAAGAAAAGATAAAGGGAAAGAAAGTGGTTTGCCCCCTGCCCCTTCGGCGAGCGAGCGATATGCATCTTTATTCTTCTTAATATAAAAGATTTTTATTAAAAATAATGAAAAAATGAGATCCCCCATCCTCCTCCTAACCCCCTCCTCTTAAGGAGGCTTATGCCTCTTGCATTCTGAACTATGCCTCACGCCTCTAGGTAGTGGAACGCCTCGCTCACGCCTCCGTGTTTTAAAACATTGTTGGAGACAATAAAAATTTACTTAATGTTGACATCTTTTTCACCTTGAAGCCCTTCATGTGAATATCTTCTGTAGCTTGAAGCCTGATTGAGGAATCTCAATGCCCGAGAATTAGGCCACTTATCTGGATCAACTAAAGGTAAACCTAATTCTATGACAAGGATCATAAGAAAGGGACGTGGACTGATTACTCATGTGATAGTATGAGATTTGTGTCAGTTTCTGCTCCATTTTGTTCTTATAAATATTAAGAAGATTATTCCCTCTTGAGTTGATATGCAGACATATAATTCCTTACCTGAGTTCATACATGGATGAGCTATGGAACCAGTCTCTAAGAAGTTGGTGGAGAAACTAAGGAAGAGATGATCTCCAAGAAGAGGAAACATGGAGAAGCAACACCATCTCAGGCCCAGGAAGCAATTAATTAGGTTTCTGTCACAGGAGACAAGTAGGAAAAGAATAAAAAGAAAAAAGAAGGCCAATGTTGAGGATGCTGATATACAAAAAAACAAGGATGTTAGTCAGAAATTTGAAGGGAGAGACGGAACAAAAGAAAAGAGAAAGAAAAAGAAGGCTGAAGCTGGAAGAGCTGATGTTCAAAATGAGGATCAGAATGTTGAACCCAAGTAGAAGAAAAGGAGAAAAAAATAGTGAGGCATACAGAGACAGAAGGAGATGAGATGCAGGGAAAGAAGAAAGAGAAAAAAAAGGAAGAGTGCTAACTAACGAGTGAACATTTTCACAAGCATGAGACTTGTATTACAGGCAAGCAATGATATCAAGTATCTCAGGTTCTAGATTTCTATTTTCTTGTATTTTTTCTAACTAATGTTATTTTTAGGCATTTGGTTTATGCTATTTTTAATTTAGTCTTTCTGTAGCCAACACAATTGTAAGATATTGATTCAGGGATTACATGACGGTGATCTATTTATATGCTCTATCCAGGGGACTGATCCTTGGAGCATATGCACCCAATGAGCATTTATCTGCATCAGACAATTGTGGAGATTGACTGTAGATACTAACAAATTTCTTTTTTAATACCCTACTGGTCAGCCTTTGTGTGCAGGTCTCTGGCTACACCAGTGGGTAATGATGCAAGGATAATTGTTTAATTTTATACACCAAAAGCTTCCAATTTTTAAGGAAATTGGTGTCTCCCTTGGAACTGAGCTTGGTTAGTACTTGGTAGTTGCTGCCTTGTTGGTTGATTTCTTGATTGTTGTCGAGTATATTGCAGTGGCTGCAAAGCTTGTAGATCCATGTTCCTATTTCTGATTAAACTCACACTCTTAGCCTTGTATCCATAGTTCTGTCCATGCAGATGATGCCTACCATTGTTTATCATCCCGGAGGCAGCAGCTTTTGTGATATAGACCTGTCCTATATTAAGAATCATGCATACAACTTACATATGTAATGGTTAAGCATTTATGTTTGGCATATGGAGGAGGGTGGGGAAGGTGGGGGCTGTGCCTTGAGATCTGGACATGAGCCACCCACCAGGGGTGGCAGGTGTCTGTGGTCTAAAGGTGTCACATCTATTTGTTTTGTTGAAAGCATGTCTAGAACTTTAGTCCCATCTTTGATTTCCCTTCAATAGTAAAGTGGATTATGCAAGTTTTCTTTTGGTCTACTCAGTGAAAAAAGGTATGCAGGGCCATGCATGCAGCTGCTCAAAAAGGTCTCTTGGAGAACAACTTACTGAGGAACAATTGCCCAAACTGGTTATCTGATATTATAGCTGAAGGCAGTAGGAATATTAGTGATGTGGGCTCTTAGTCCTGTTCTTTGTCTCTTTTTTGTTGTTAGATTTTCTGTTTCTTTCTGCTCTAGGTTTCTGTCAGTCAGGTTCTTTTAGTTTGGGTGCCTGCAGTTTTAGTTGAGGTTGGTTTAATCTATCTGTTTCTTTGGTTCTCTGCTAGTCAGTGTTGGGTTTTGGTAGCCTTGTTGAATCTCAATTGGGGTCAGTTGTTAATTTGGTTTCTGTTGTATGTTGCCTTTATGTGTTGAAATGAAACGTTTTCTTAACCAAAAAAAAAGTGAAGCAGAAATAAATGCTAAGTTCCATAAAAAAGAATACTGAAAGTCACCAACAATTGCTAAACCATCATTATAATTTTGACAATTTTAACCACAGTTGCTAAATCTCCATTATTACAGTACAAATGCCATAAGATGAATGCATTTTCACATCAAATATCTTCTTTGATCATTCGTATCTGTTTGTAGCTCAACTTCACACACCTCAAGAGAACTGAAAAGGAGGATGACATACAAAGGAGCAAGTGGAACACATGGAAAAATACATTACAGGTAATAAGCAAACCAGGAGAACATCAACAGCAACGGTAATGAACAGCATAAATCCTTCGCGGCGATGGCTGAGAACAGACAAACATGAACATGACAGCAAGAAAGAGCACTAAGAGGATCCCTATGGGATCAAAACTATCATCTTTTTGGCAGCAGATGCACTCCGTGGCCATTTCTGAGAAGCAGCGACCTCTCCTGATCAACTTGATTTCTCTTTGCTTGTTTCAGTTCCTGAGGAGATGAAGAATGTTCAAGGCATAGGCATGGTATTTATAACTTTAAATCCAGTCTCATTCTTTTCGCTGTAAGAAAAGGGGAGTGATTTGTGACATACCTCCCTTGATACATATTTGATATATGCATTAAAAGACAAAAATCACCCTATATTTTGACTTCTTTGGTGACCCATTGTGATTTCTCTCTCTTTCATTAGGGATGTGCCCAACTACCCATTTATCAAAAAATGGGTGTGTCCTAAATCACTCCCAGAAAAGAAAATCTAAAAAGTAAAAACATTCTACTCATCTTCCAATGAATTAGCAAGAAATTTCTTTGTAAGTTTAAACCCTTCAAGTGTTAGACAAATGATAATTGATAAATCATAAATGGTTCAGCTCTCACTTGGTACTAGACTATGAAGTCCAGAGAATCTCCACCAATAAGATGGCAGCATCAACTGTGAAGATGGCCGAGGACCTGAGGTTGAAGCTTCCCTGGTTCTTTTACTACCCATGTATTTGGGTTTTATAACTCATATTTGGTCGACTTTACAAGTATTAAAACTTACAAGTCAACCAAGGCGTCATACAAGGACCAATTCAATGAAGAAAAAGAGATACCAACTAATCATCTTGAATATTCCACCCACAAATAAATAAAAAAAAATCTTCTTGAACAATTCAACTATACTAAGTAGGAGTAGATGTATCTGTTTTTGGATCCGAACAATCCAACGATAGTTAATCAGGGTTTACCTTGCCATGGCGGTCAAGTAGAAATCAGAAACCACCTTGAGAGTTTTTTTCGACATGCATACGCAGAGACCAAATCAGCCCCCTACAAGATTGCCTCCCACAACATCCTACAGCACATCCCTACCGTATTAGAGAAATTATCATCGAGAGATGTTTCTATACACGGCAGAGATGTGCTGTGCGACATTGTGGGGGGCTGAAATTCACAGGGTTTTTTTATTTCATATTCTGGGTCAAGCTGGGCCTGGATTCAAAACCTAAGCCCAATATCAGAAATTTGCAAGGTAGACCTGACGGTTGGAAATGATCACATTTTAGTCCACCGACAACCCCCCGGACCCCACCTACATTCTAGATTTTAGGGACAGGGACGATGGGCATCTCTGTTCATAGCGTGGAAAGTTGCCAAGTTTTGTCACATTTTAGTCATTTTGAAACCGATAAGCATTATTATTTGTCTGGGAAGGAAGAAAGATGACTTCCCAAGGCCCCCAACTACCGGGGCAAGTGTGGAGGAATGATCATACAAAATAAAAAAATAAAAAAATAGTGGAAATCATATGATATACTGCACCAGCATCACATTTTTTAAAATTTAACTCAAAACATTTGATCAATCCGATGAAAGGTAAACAATTAGGTGTGGAACTTGGCCAGCTAAATTCAAAATTTAGTTTCCTGATCTAACCTTATCTCAACCCTAATTCTATATATACACAAATACAAATGCATGTCACATTTTAGTATGGACTGGTTATGAGTTGGACAGTTTGGACTTGACCTCAGGTTCAAGAACCCAATTCCTAGGGTCGGGTCTGGATTGAACTTAAACTTGGCCAAGCCCACTTGACTTGCGTACCTATAAATAGTTTAACTTCAATAGAAGTAAAACTTCGGGTGGCAATTTCTAATGCAACCAACTGGTCAATCCAATCCATCCATTTATGACCCACTAGGGTTGCAAATGGTATATGCTTATATGAATTCGAATTTGATCCTATTAAGGGTGATCTGAATTCAATCTATTTATAATTGGATCAAATATGGATCCACCCTTATTTGATATGATATAATCTGATATGATTTGATTTAAATATATATACTCATATATATAGGAATGGCAATGGGACGGTGGCTATACTCCCCATCCTTGACCTTGACTTTTAAGTCAGTCCCCATCCCCGACCCTGATCAGTGTTGGGGAGAAAAGTTAACCTCCATCCTGATCTTTGAATCCTCAAAATTTTTTAATTAAAAGTTTCTTTGTGAATATGTATATTGGGGTCAGGGCAAGGTAGGGACTTCACTCCCCAAGGGACCAAATCAATTTCAATCCTCAACTAGATTGAGTCAAGGAGGCCGATACCTAGTGGATATTAAACCCTAGCCTCCCCAAGGTATGAATATTAAATAATATAAATAAATTAGATTAATATGATCAAAATATTATATTTTATGAAAGTAAGTGCTTTCATAAAAGTAATTTTGTGAAAGTGCTTTCGTAAAAGTATTTTCATAAAAGTGCTTTTGTAAAGTACTTTTATTAAATTCAACTAGGGTTAATTTTATAAGTAGTGTTTTAAAATTCAACTAGGGATAATTTTGAAAGAAAAACAAGTTGAATAAGTGCTTATTGTATAAGCACTTAAAAAAATTGGAAATTTGGGCTTAAAAAATAAGTCCTTACTTTTAAAATAAGCACTCATTTCAGGCTTTTTTCCCAAATACTAATAAGTGTTTAATGGCCTAAATAAGCACTTATTTTAAATAAACACTTATTTTTAAGCACTCCCAAACATGGCCTTAGACAGTTGGTCCCCTAAAATCTATGTTATACTTATAAAATGGTTGGGTCTAAGACAGTAGTTCTTTCTCCTCACTCTTGTGTCTGAAGGCCCTATCAAAATATTGTTAACTTTTTGGTTTATAAGCCCCGTGATAAGATTAGCATTGATTAATTGTTGTTGCACAAAACCTAGAAACATAGATTCAAATGGCTCAAGAAAATCAAATAAAATAGAGATAAAAGAGGTGCAAAGCAGAGCACATACAAATTTATGTGGTTTGACTTATAGCCTATGTCCACGAGTGAAGGAAGAGCAGAAGTCCATTATGGAATCAATAATGGAAATTACAATGTTGTACATAATCTCTCTCATAAAAACCCTAAACCCCAAAACACTCAAAACCTTTCAACTTCTCTCTCAAGTCAAAAAGATGTATTTAAGAGAAAACCCCAAATTACATAATTCTTCATATTAGGGTTGGACCTATAAGTTGGATATGGATTGAGTCTGTACCACCACGGGGTGCATCCTTGGTGGTGGTTAGTGATGGGCTATAAGCCCAAGGTCAGACCTATAAGCTGAATATGGATTAGGTCCATAGTGCCATGGAAGCACACTCCCAGTGGTGGTTTGTGGTGAGCTACTGAGCTATAGGCTTGGGCGTAGCCCTACTCTTCCACCACAAACCACTACAAATTTTGTCTTTAAAATTTTCTCAACTTAATAAAAACAGGGTAAATAATGAATTCAAGGCACAAATATAACAATTGCCTCATGTTCATGCATATTGAACCTAATAAATAGTAGGATAGAAGGTGCAAATCAACTCATTGATAAAGTTTCTGGCTGAAAATCATGAAAAATGCATTTATGAGTCTAATATTGCCAACGGTTAGGTTAATGTCCAATCCACTCATCCCAAGAATAATCCAAGACCTCGGACTAAGTCTACCTTGACCCAGTCCATACTCAAACCAATTACCGGTACGGTTGCAACTTGGCATAAAAAACAGATTTGGTCTTCACAATAAAAATATATGATTGCAAAAGGATATAAATACAGTGTGAACACCATTTTGTGAATACTGAATCCTGTCTCCTTGGCACTGGTAAACCCAAATCCCAACTATTAATCCAACTCGATTTGGGGCCTAATTGGGTTAGAGTGCTTTGGGCGACCTGACCCAACTTAAAATCCAAGCGCTTACATATGTACATATTATTACTTATTGCATATACATGTATTCTGTGTAAACTATCTTATGCCTCTATTTTGTATAATTTTAATTCTAATAATATTTAAAAATGTCATTTCAGAAAAGATCACTAAGATTTTTTTTTGTGCATTAATTGGGTTAAGCGGATAACTTCACCTAATCGGAAAGGTAGATTGTGCGGTCTGGTTGGATTGGTTTATTAGTTTTTTTTTTTTTTTTTCAACTGACCCGATCTGATCGGATTATTTAAAGATTAAACTGAAACTGACCTTCTATTAAGCAAAATTGATCTGGTCGATTTAGGTCGGTTTGGGTTGGTTTTGGTTTAAATATATATAAAATATATATTTCAGTTATATATATAATATTTCAGTAAGAATATATTTATAGATAACTCGGTTTGGTTTATCCATCTTTTCAACTCGAAACCGACCGGTGGTGAAGAAAACCGGCCAAATCGGGTTGGGTTGGGCGCCGGGTTGGTCGGTTTAAGTTTATTTGTGAACAGCCCTAGTGGGCTCATTGTGTTGTGGGTAAAGGAATGGTTTTAAAAATGACTCGGAAATGGAACCGTTCTGGTCACTGGTTTTTGGGTTGACGATTTGATTGCTCGATTCGAATGGATGGCTCGTATTGACAAAAAAATTAAAAAAAAATTATTAAAAATAAAAAATGACCAAAAACCATTGAACAAGTCGGTGGGTCAACGGTTACCCAATGAATCAATGGATTGTTAATTGATTCAACGGTTTCTGGTTAGAGACCAAATTTGAGATAAAACAGAATCGATTGCTGAACGATTCTCGGGTCAAATGATCCAACCATCCAGATCAACGACAATTCAAAAACTATGGGTAAAGGTACCCTTTTCCTCAAGTTGGGCTTAGATTGACCTTAGTCCAATACTACCCGGCGGAGTTGTGCCATTTGATAACTTTTAAGTCTGATGCCTATTATTGGAGTTTAAAATCTGAAAAAAATAAATGATTTCATAAATTTTAGAGGCTCTGAAAAAATAAGATTTGCTAAGGTTCCATTCCACTAGAAACTCAAAACATTCTGATGCATTGCCAAGCGGTATCTAGTTTTTGGTCATATTGAACCAGGGAACTGCAGAAGGCAACCATACAATTATAATTTATAGAAGCTTGACTTATATTTTAATATTTATATCCACAAATTTAAATTTAATTTTCGAAAAAGAGTTGTGCTCAAGAGTCAAGACTAGCCCGAAAAGAATTAGGCCCAAAAATCCCAACCCGTCAAGTCAACCAATGTTTTTAATTTGATTTTCAAATAATGAATGCATAAGAGAGTAAACAAAAAATTAAAATAGGATTCCAATTTCATTGCTTTGACAATTTTTTTTTTTAGAAACAAGGAAGACTATTTATCTTAGGTTTTAGAACTATTTATCTTAGGTTTCAAGTATGTTCCTGTAAAAGTATTGGTCCTCATCATTTCTCAGTATGTGTCTCAATTACAAAGAATGATCACCAAGGATAGGTGGATAGGTGGATGTTGCTTTTAGGATTCCAGTGAAAGGAACCACATAACTGATGTTAATTTTAATGATTTTTATAACAGTTCCATGTATTAATGTATACTAATTTTAACCTAGATTGAATATATCCTAGAGATTAAAATTCTCAATCCAACTGTATGCCATCATGGCTCTTTGAGTTTCATGTTTCCAATTTGGTTTACTAGAAAAATCAAAGACAAAGATAGTTTTGGTTAATTAACTACTTGAATGCTCAGTGAATGATGTGAAAGGAAAAGAGACTTCAATCAAGCATCATGAAGACTTGGAACAATTCATTTAATTGATGGTCATGTGAAGGGCCAGATATCCTGTGACTGAATTGCCCACTCTTTAGGGGTGTATAATCGGGTCAGTTCGGTTTAATCCGAGGACCTAACCGACTATTTGAATTTACCATTTTTCTAATTAAACTGAATCCAATCAAATTATATTTTAGAATCGAACTGACCCTAACTGAATTCGGTTGGACCCTGGTTTCATATAAATGACAAGCATTTAATAAGTGTTATTAATGGAAAGTTAAAATGACCCTAAAACCCAATAGTTTTAATTAATTAATTATTAACTATTATTAATTAAAAGTTAGAATGACCCCAAAGTTCAATGGTTTTAATTAATTAAAAGCTAAA